AATATATTTTATTAAATAAAATACTATTTAAAATAAATAAAAAAACTCCTAAAAATATTAAATCTATTAAATTAAACTTTTAATAATAATATAATTTTTATAGTTTTAAAAATATTAATTTATTAACAATATATTGTTAGGATTGTATTTTCTGTAACAGATTTAAAAATTATTTTTTTTAGTCTACTGAAATGTATCTGATAATAGAAAGTAATCTAACATTCTAACTTCACCTGTTTTCAATACACAGTTTGAACATTTTTTGTATTAGAAAAATATATATATAATTCAATACATATTCCGGACATAAATTTTAATACAAAATCTGAACATTTTCTGTATTAGAAAAATAGACACATAATTTTAATACAAATTCCAAACATATTCTGTATTAGAAAAAAAGATTAAATTTCTTTCTGTACAAATTCAAGATGTTTCTGAGGTTTGAATAAACCCAAACAGCAAGTTTGATCATTTTTTAGGACAAATAATGGTTATTTTCTGGATATTTTCTGATATATCTGAATAGATTCAGGATATTTTCGATGATATTTTCTTTTTTATAGGGTAAATGTAATTTTCTGTTAAAAAAATATTGTACTTTAAATCAAAATAAATCTAATTAAAACTGAAATTTAAGCATAACTTTCTCATATTATACGCTTTCATAAAGAGTGATTAATAATCTTTTATTTGTATAGTCAACATCTGTAGTATTACCAATTTCTTTTAATATTCCATATAGTTTATCTTAACCAAATGTTATATAGAATACTAATTTCAATTTTTAATTTTTAAAATATATTATTAAATTAATAATTATATAAATTTATAATTTTAATTCATTTAATAAAATCTTACCTTCAGAATCTTTGTTAATATGAAAAAAAATTTTTTCAGCATTTTTTGGTCGCAAATTTAAATATTTATTAATATTATAACATATACTTTTTATTTCAATTTCATTTTTAATTTCATCTAGTTAAGTGTTTTATTAGAGTTTGTTTGATGATAATTACTTTCTTGATGAGTTTATCATAAATTGTAATAATATCAAACCCTCCATTATTATGTTCTTTAAAATATTTAACAATAATATTATAATAAGATCCTTTCTTTTCTACTATATAACATCTATTCCATAAAAAACTCTTTTATCTGATCTTTCATTTAAAATACTAGGGTGATTATAAATTTTAAACATTTCTTTATCTGTAAGAATATCTGCACCATTACATTTACCATTATTAATTTCTTTAAATTAATCATTAGATATAATATATCATGCACTGTTTTAAACTCATGAATATTTTTCTTTAAGTAATTCTTGATAAAATCGATTTATAGCACAAATTCCATTATATAATGAATATGCTTAATAATCTTTTTTATCTCTAGTTTTAATAATAACAATAAATTCACATAATAATAATACAATAGCCCTTTGTGATAAAGAGTTAATAAATCAATGTCTGGTTGTGTATCATTCAGAAATTCTTCACATCTGAAAAATCACAGTCTTGTTTTTTATTATTATTGACAGGTTTAGATGTAGTAAATATTTTTGTAAAGCTTTAATAGAGAGACGTTTATATGTGTCCTTTGAAATAGATGATTTGGAAGTTTTATGTATTTGAGATAGATCTAAACTAGCAAGTTTTTCTTTTAATTCATTTGTAAATAGTTTATTTTTTGAATGTATAAGTCTGAAACCTTTTGAAAATGTGTATTCATTTTAAGAGAAAATAATAAAATAAAATTTAATATTTAACGAATAGTTTATTTACAATATATTGATAAAATATGTTGATAAAAGTTCCACGCACTATTGCATCAAAAACAATAAAAATTGTGTAAATGGCAGGGGATAAACCAGCTATATCCTGGCAATATTTATTTGACTTTTTTACATAATTGCGCTAAATTATTTGTGCTAATTAAGGCGTGAGAGTTATGGCTATGTTCCTCCGCCTCTTACCCGATATACAAGCAATGTAACTGGCTTATCCAAACTCAAACATAATCATTATTTTTTAAAATTTTTATTTCCCAAAATTTATCTGTTATGAGGCGCAATAAATATGCGCCACATTCCAAGAGTTGGTGAAAGTTTATTTGTCAACGATTACGTTATTTCTTATTGGTTTGTTTATTAAAAAGGAAGCCCCATTTTACAAATAACGACGCCGTATCATATGACCACAAACAAATTTTCGTTAAAACATTAGTGGCATCATGACGTACTCATAATAAAAATAGGTGTAATGTTTTAATATTTTCAAATTATGGAATATTTGATTTTTTGGTTGAATAACATTACATTTATATACTGTAAATTTATTTAAAAATGAAGTTATGAGAAATTTGTTGGAAATGGGAAGGATCATAAAATAGGGATTCGAAAACAGAAGCTAAATAATGAAGAATTGTTCCATTTTTATTGCGCTTTAGGAATTTGGTAAATAAAAGAAGCACGATTTGAATCTAATATTAACTAATTTTGGATAACTATTACACATATTTTTTCACAATTGGTAATTTTCCAAAGTAATGAGCATAGATTTTTACAAACTAAACCTAAACTGCAAAAGTTATGATAAGCTTGCTGTATTTATAAAATGGAACAAAAAATTTATGGAAACAAGAAAGAATTACGAAATGCAAATTTATAATTATGAAGAATTCATAAATTTACGATGATAAAATATCAAAAAAAGAAAAAAATTATTACAAATAAATTGATTAATAAAAATAAAATTATTTATTCAAATGAAACAAAAATACCGCTTTCAAAAATAATAATTTGAATTAATAATTATATGAAAAATCCTTTATCCCCCCATACACGTCCCGCTAATGAAAGTAACGCAAATAACATTCTCCAAAATTTAAATAAAATGTTAAAATAAAATAATAATCAATCAAAAATAAAATATTAAAATCTATATTTTCTATAAAATGCATTCATTTAATAAACCTTTAGAAGGAAAGTTGAAAATAGGAAAGTTATCATTTTCGATGAAAAAACCTAAATTACCATTAAGAGAGGATTCAAGACGTTCATTTAAATCTGTATCACAATTACTCGTTTTACCATGTGTAATGCTAGTGTCAAGTTGTCCAACTAACTCAATGCCAACTTTCTTTCTCACAAGCCTATCGTTTAATACGCTAAGACCAAAGGCAATTCGTGGTTTTAATGCACCGGAAATTGACACTCTAGGTTGAGCGTCGATATCAAGCTTGGGTTTACGCAAACTAACAACAGGATTAAAACCAGATTGTTCAAAGGTTGGCGGAAAATCAACAAATGTGGCCTTTGCATGAAATTTAGGTAAATTTATGTCCCCACCAAAATTTATCGTTGCATTTGCGCCGGCAGTTATTTTAGTTGAAGCCACTAGATCTATTGAAGGTCCAAGATTAAATAAACCTGGTACGCCAATGCCTCCTATCGGCAAAGTGGCAAGGGTTGTAACGGATTCAATTTCAGATGAAACAACAAGGGCAAGATCAACGTTTAATTTAACATTTCCATCAAGAGCAATCGATGCATCAGTCAATTCAAATCCAGAGAAAAAACCAAATTCGGCGGCAATTCTCAATGAAACTGTAGCTTCACCATTCATAAAACAATTTGCGCAAAGTAATTTGGTACGCGAGATTTCCCCAAGTGGAATATCAGGTTTTGATGTTTTCCCTTTCGATTTATCAAATAAAACATTTAAACTTAACGTATTTGATATGTCAATGTCTGGAATGTCGATCCTTCTGTAATTCTTTTTTGTTTTCCATTTTCCCATGAAACATCAAGAATAAATTCTTGGGACCAATCTTGAATATCACACCTTTCCGTGGATAAAATTACTTTGTTATTCTTGATATCAACCTTTTTATCTTTTACCATAAAAAATTGTGTTGTGGATTTGCCAAAACATTTCCATTTATGAGAAATCATTAATATAACTTTATCGGGCCATTGATGAACTTTTTTAACATCATGTCTTTGGAATGTAATTTTATCATCATCATAACAATCGATATCGGTTACTCCACTTTGATCAAGATTTAATGATGGAACTTTGGTCTTAAAATAAACTTCAGCTTTATGATACCCTCCAACTTGAGATTTGGAATTTGGCTGTCTGTAAAAAGCACGAAGGTTTTTTGAAGGTTTAAGCCCTTTATTATTTGGAATAACCTTGAAATTTTTTGAAAAAACTATTTCAACAAATATGATTTCAATAAACAAAAGGAGTAACAATGATTTTTCGATTAGTTTAACCATTTTTTAAAAATAAACGTGTGAGTGTAATTATGTAATTAATGATTAAGGGGCATGAGAAGGTAATGAAGGAAAGGAAAGTAAGGAACGTAAAAAGGTAATAAATAATGTAAATAGGTAAAGTTGGAATATTTTCTTGTATCTAAAACTTACCTGCATTTTTATACTTTTCGTAAAAAGATCAGTGAGTCTACGCGTAACAAGTTGATTTACATACAATTAAACTTATTGATGTAAGACAACGATCATAATGCACATCTTTCTTCTAGGAAAATCAGGTTCTGTGAATTATTGACTAATATAAAGATTTTATTAAATCTAATCACATTAAAAAAATTCCCAGAACCTGATTTTCCTAGCAACCTTCCCATATGTTTTATGATGAACCAATCATAATTAAGGAATTTTCTCCCTTTAACGACCACCTAATTAGCATTAGCCAAAATTTCTAGGTCAGGTTTCCTGATAATTAGAATTTGATCGGTTCATAAAACCGTCCGATGTATGAAACCTCAACAGTTATATCCTTCATACTTAAATCATTGTAAAGTTTATTTTTAAAATTTCTTAAAACTAAATTTTTTTTTGAGAAAATGGAAAAAAGACGCCTCATGGTAGAGTTCTATATAATTAATTGAGTTAATAAATATCCTTTGTCGAATTGATTGAAAAAAAATAATAAATGACTTCAATCAAATTGACTTTGTACATATATAATTGAAAATAATTTGGTCTTTCGATAATTTGTTTAGCAACATGTGCTCCGATAATTCTATAAGCGGTAATTTAATATCATCGAATGGATTTAATCTTTATTTATTTTGGAATATAAAAATTGCAAAGCCCAAAAAAAAAGAAAAAGTATTTTGTCTAGAAAGTGTGACGAGTCATCTGGACGCTCATTTTTTATAAGGAATTAAGGTGACGAATAGAAAGTTCGTTATGGGTCTCGTAACATTCTTTAATAAATAAACTTTCTTATAAATTTGCGGTTACATAGTAACGCATTTTATGCATGATAAATTCACAATGTTATCAATTAAGAACTTTACCTAATTTTGAATCAAAAAGTCCCTTTCATTAATGTTAAAAGGTCCTAATGATTTTCCAAATTGGTGGTAAATTTCAAGGGTAAAAAAAAGTAGATTTGTTTGTAATTTGCAAATTATTATTTCTACTAATACGATTAAGTATTGTATAAAGCAAATTTTATATTTTGACGTTCACTTATCTAATGATCGTAAAACAAAGTAAAATATCTCGTGATCTGATGACGTATAAAAAAAAATAGGGTGGTCTTTACATCACCTTGCATATTACTTACGCCAATTTCCGCAAAACTTTTTAAACACAGCCATCTTTTCATGGCTTGGGCTTTGTCGATTGTTTAAAATGACCATAATTCCGACAAAATTTAACTTCAAACCAAAAAAAAATACATAAAAAAATTAAAATTTTTATTAAACATTTTTAAATTAAAACATCGTAATCACGCAATTCTATTTCAAATACAAAATTCCAAAATTCTATCAAAACTAAGTCCAATATTTTAAATATACAGTACCATTAAATTTGGCATTTGTAATGCAATAAGAAATGGTATAATGGATATACACACGTTTTCTTTCACGGAATAAAGTTAGGACCAACTTTAATCAACGAAGGATATTTGGTTGCAAGAAACGTCAGCTTTTCAAGATTGGAAAAGATAAAGAGATAAAGAAGAATAATTCATCACCACATCACCAGTCACCCAATTCCATCTATATATATAATATTGCTCTGAAAGGATTTAGCCATTCGATTAAGGAAAAATCAATTAATTTTAACAAATTAATGGTCGATATTGAAAAAAAACATTTTCTAGACATATTAAAGTCCGAAAAAACATTTGAATTTTATCTTTATTTAAACTATGATTATCATTGATTATATATTAGAAATTTTAGTTATAATTTAATTAAATTTAATAAGTCAAGGCGTTAACGATGTAAATATGCTTTTATTGTAATGGGATTTTGAAGGAGGAGATTTAGTTTTAAGTGAAATAGGTATTGTAATAGAAGTAAAATGTGGTTATATAATTTTATTAAGATCTGCTCTTTTAGAATATTTTGATTTCTATAGTTTTCTATTTAAAAATCATATTATAGCAAATTTAAAATTAACAAAATATATCAACCATATTTATTATATTTAAACTATTAAATAATTAATATTAATAAAATTAAACTAATAAACAACATCAAAAAATAGATTAATAAATTTCAAAATTTGACTATTATGATTGATTAATTGATATAATAAAAATAAAAAAGAATTTAATTTCTAATTTTAAAATTTTTATATTTTTATATTCTTAATTGTTTAAGTATCATTATTTTTTAGTTAAAATTAATAAATAACTGTTATATTAATAAAAAAAGATTAATTTTTATTATTTAAAAATTAACATATTTTTAATTTTTAATTTATTTATCAATATAAATATTATAAATTAAAAAATATTAAAATTTAATATGCTAATCTAAACAAAATTTATATACATAATTTTTCAATCAAAATTTTTTAAAAAAAATCAAATATGATATAATGAAAATGATTTTAAAGAATTATAAAATAAATTATTTTGAAATAAAAATAATACATTTAAAGATTATATAAAATTTATTCTTATATATTATAATCCCTTAAAAAATTTTTCAATGATAACATTTACTGCTAAAAAGAATTTTACATTACATACTCTTAAAATTTATAATTTATAGGATCTTTACAGAAACTTAGTTTTCTTAATATGCAGTAACTGCAAAGTAACTATATAATAAATATATAATTACTATCTTATTTAATAGTAACTTAATCGTTATCTAATAAATATTATACAGTTACTTTACAGTAAGAAAATAAAGTTTTGTAAAGGTTTTGCAAACTTTTATTAAATTTAAAAGATTTTTAGAAATTTAATAATCAATTACATATATTTTGTGACCATTTTAAATTTCTGAAAAGTCATAAATCATATAAAAATCACAATTTTAAATTTTTTTAATATATTTTATTTATAATTTAAAAGAAAAAAATATGTAATATTTCTTTAATATAATTAACATTAATTTAAAAAGAAAAAGATTAAATACAAATTTTTTTTATTAATATGAAATTTATATATATTAAAATTATACTATTTTTAATTTTTGATTGATTAAATAAATCTGAAAAATAATTTCATTTGGATATTATATTTTTAAATTGAAAAAATTTATAAAAATATAAATTAGTATATTTTGTATAAAGTTAATACAAAAAAAATTAATTGTGACTAAATAGTCTAAAGCTATACTGAATATCTTATTTTTAAATGATTAAAAAAGTAAATCTGTAATATATCAATAAGATATACTAGTAAATATAGCAGAAATTTAAAAAATATATATAGTGTAGAAGAATTAATGTTCGATACATTCATATATTAAATTCTTTATAAACTCTTAATTTAAAATTTTATTATTATCATAAATAAAATATTGCTATTTACTTAAAATACTAATTTCTAAATTACTGTATATATAAATTATTTTTATTATTTCAGAATATAAGCCTGAATTCCTATAAAATAAAAAAATAGTTAACATTATGCAATGATGAAAAATAATTGATTTTTTCTTAATTTTCATGCTTTTAATTCATTTTTTTTAAAAAAAACTCAAATTATAAGTTTATATATTTCAACACTTCAAGTAGTTTCTTAATAATACATGATTTATTTTAACTTTAGATAAAATAAAAGTCAATAATATAATATATTTTTTCATTTCAAAAATACCAATTATGAAAGAAAGAAACATATGTGAATTGATTACAAATAATAATATATTATAATAACACAGATATTAGTTAACATATAAAGATAAATAAGGTCATATTTGCTTAATAAACAAATTAAAAAATTTTTTTTTAAAAAAAAAATAACAATAATAAAAAGCTTGTTAAATAACCATAATCTATATTTTTGATATATCAGTTGATTGAATTTAGGCCATGCAACTTTGATTTTCAGTTTACATAATATTAAAATTTAAAAATCAATCTGAAAATCTAGAATTTATTAATGAAAATTTTTTATTAATAAAAAAAGTTTATATATAAATATTATGCTATCTGATTGGTTAATCTTTAAAAAATAAGGTAATACAAAGTAAATTTTTAGATTCTGTGATCCAGCTGTATCAGTTACAAAATTCAGAATTTTTTTTATAATAAAATTTTATCATGTGATCTTATATAATAAAATTAGTATTAGAATTTATTTAAAAGAATTTATTTGTAATATAAAATATAATAATATATATCAATGAAGGTTACCTTTGACAGTTTGACCAGCATTACTACTAGTTATTATGCTTTTCTAAGATTAACTTTAAAATAGTTTATAATTGCTACATCAAAGGGTTAACATAAACTGGTCAAATACTTACACTTCTTAGTTAAAGTATTAAATCAGGGTCTAATGCATTTAATTGACACTTGTTTTACCGACAGTCATCATACTAACAAACACCTTACCAACATTATCATTTTATCGACAAACACTTTACTGACAATCATTTGACCAACATATTTGTTTGACCGATATATTCATTTGATCAATATATTCATTTGATTAACATATTCATTTGATCGACACATTCATTTGACTGATTTTGACAATTATTTTATCATTACCATTAACCTTTATAAACTTTATAAAGCATATAAATTGATATTTTTTATTAATATTGAATAGATGTATTACATAAAAGAAAAAAAATAGTTTAATAAACTATTTAAAATTAAATATTATGTGCAATTCCTTTAAGAAAATCCATAAGTGATCTATTATCATGATCATTATACACTATTTGAATTTGAGTTTACAATTATGATTCTGCCTTTTTTGTAAAGGTTGTGCTACTTCATATAAAATTAATTCTGTATCAAGTTGAACTTATTTTTGTTCATTT